ACGGGGACATATATGCCAAGTTGTTGAGAAAACAAAATTACAAATTATTTCTAAGGATTGCAGATCTAGGAGACATATATGCCACATTGTTCAGGAAAAAAAAACATATTTTACAAATTATTTTTATGGATTGGAGATACGAGGAGACATATATGGCACATTCCATACAAAAATAGAATAGGTCCTATAAACATGATTCAAATAGTGCACGTTCATATGCTCTGTGCTAGCAAGAGCAAATGACTTAGAATGCAAACTTTATACTAACATTATACTACTATTACATTTGCATTGAGAAAAATTTACATTCCATCCTAGAATATAAAACTACTTGTAATTATATATAATTGTCGACACAAGCAAAAGGAATTCTTTTGAATAGAGAGGAACATACTGTTTCATCATTTGTATCGGACATGGCGTCCCTCAGTTGCATTGATAGCATGTCCCTAACAAAAAGAGTCTACTCAGGTGGTAGTCATCTTCAAACAATTCATTTTAAAAGGTGTCAATGGCAGCACCATAGTAAGTTAAATGACAACATGATAAAATTGCAAGTCAAAGCAAATCAGGGAGCAGAATATTGGCAGTCTAGAATATTCATAAACAGTTCTATACTCCTAAAACTTCATAACTAGAAGCTGTATAAAGATGAAGCCAAACCCATACAACTTCATATGAACTCAGCAAGAAAAATGTACTAAATCAGCATACTAAAAAAAACTGAATCAACAAACTTGACATTTGCAGTACCTGAAACTGCCTGAATCCATTTGCTCAAACTCCTAGGTAAAGGATTGCAGATCCTAGAGACATATATATGCCACATTAACAAGATATACTCAAATTACATCACCAAGTACAAAAATTTACAGTGCATACTAGGATATAAACTTAATGCTAGTAATATATATAAGTGTTGGCCTAAGAAAAAGGTATTCTTTTGCATAGATAGGAACTTACCATTTAATCATTTGTATATCGGGCTTGGGTGTCCCAGTTGCATTCAGATCATATCCCTACCAGTAAAGTCTACTGAGGAGTTAGAGCCCCCTACAAACAATGCATGCAAATAAAGTGTCAATGGAAAAGAACATCTAGATGAAAAAGGTGCACCAGTAAAAAAATAGAGGATAAATTGTTCACTGACTAACAGAAGAGTGAAAAAGAAAAAAAGAATATTAAAAGGTGCAGCAGCACAACCGATAGGCTCAAAAGAAAGAAAGAAAACGATTAGCTTTAGAAAGCCCAAAAATAGAATAAAGTCCAGTACAAAAAGTATTGTTATAGCACCTATAACAATAACAGTTAATAACATAAGCGAAGGGATCACACTGCCCTCTACTCAAGTAATCATATTTGACAGCTCAGCACTTATCATTATAATACCCAGCAACAGTAATACAAACATAGCCATGCATACGAGTACACACACCATTGACAGGCACAGTCAATAATACCAAATGTATGGACTAGATATACAGTGCCTTCCATCATAAAGAAGATAAACAAAAATAAAAGAAAATTATAGTACAGATATTTCATATTTGACATTAGGCATGTGAACTAGTGTATCATATATTGATATAAGGTTATACTGGCAGTTCTTACATGTTAAGTCCATACACAGGGCATTTGCTGAAATCTGTCAAAAGGATGGCAGGTGCAGAAACAAAAGAAAATGGTCATATTTCTCACTCAACAATAAGCCTAAATTCAAAAAAAAAAAAGGTTCACACCCAGATTAAAGAACCTACAATTCTACTACAGGTCAGAAAGGCATGCCACATAAAGTCAAACAAGGCTATTGCCCAACAATGTAGGAAAAAAACATGTGGAGTCAAAGCTATCAATTCAGTATTACCAACTTAAGCCTACATGTTGTGGTTGTGTGCACCAACATACAGAAGGACAAAAAATCAGGAACAAATATAGTACACTTACATCACAGCAATAATCAGTTTCAGGGCTAGAGATGGGCGATAGAGATCAGAATCAACACTTAGAAACTGCTGAAAGCACTGAACATCTTCAACATCCTGGCCTTCTAAATCATCAGAGCTCGATATCTCACAAAACCAGGACACCTCTTTCTAGCCATCTATCACAAATATCAAATTGAAGCATAATTACACATAGAGAAAGCCAATGGAAAAAAAACACTAGTAGTACAAGCATTAGCACAGGTATAGTGAACTACTAATTTCGAGTACTGAATAAAAGATAAATACCATATATGCCTTTTAATTATTGGACAAACAGAATAACCATTTCACAAGCAAAGTATTGATTCAAAGCAAATATACAGTGCCAGAACTAATATCAACAAATATTCTAAACTAATCTGAACAAATATTCAGTGCAACAGCTCCAATATAACAGCAGCAATAATCAACAGTGCCTGATGTAAAAAGGTGACCTTCAGTAAGCAACCACATATCTAGCAAGACTAAAGCTGTACCACTTCCACGGATTGCATCATTGCATAGATGCCAACATCTCCATAAACAAAATAGCAGCTGAGCTCGCTCTTCTGAATCCCATCGGCTCCATCATCATTATGAATGGTCCCGGCCCTGAAATGACAAGTTCATTTTCAGGTAGCAGATCCCTCCTTTCTCAAATCCTATCTCAAAGCCTTAGCTTTTGTGCAAGAGACCATAGCATCAAAGCAGTCCTCTTCTTCTCTCCCACATATCTGACACATGATATCGATCCCAACGCCAGATTCAGTGCTGCGACTTGGCTAGTTGCTTGCACCCCGGCCCGACCGCACCGGCCCTTTCTTGTCGGACGAACACGGAGTAAGATGGCAGCAGGAAGCGGCAGCCACCAGCTTAGGGCCCGTGGCTTGGGCTGCCCACCCGGCACGGTGCGCTGCATGCGGCCAAGGACATAGCACATGGCCGGACCAGGACGACAAGTACAACAACCAAATCAGCAAATCTAAAACAAATCGGACCTCCACATCAATGCCAATCCCTACTCGAACCCTAGGGCAGACAAGGAAATCTGATTCCATCCATCCCCAAACACAGTAGAGAACAGATCCTTGAAATAAACTCGAACCCTAACCTTTAGAACGCGGCAGAACACATGAGCATACTCTAACAACGAAGATTTCAAGGATTCTAAGGAAGCAAAAGGAACGAACCTTGCACCTGACGGAATCGCCTGTCGCCAGTGCAGAGCGCCAGAGCGTCGCGGGAAGAAGACGACCGCGAAATGAAACAGCCACACAAACAGGCGCGACTCCCAATTTCAATTTTGAACAGTAGCGTTTCAGAGTGGGCCTGCACATCTAGGCACGGGCAAAATGCCTCCCATGTAACTTGCCAGCAAGTGACTGCACCTTGTTTGGTTGCAGGTATGATGGGTTGTTTTTCAGGCATCTTCAGGCGTAGAAAAACGGTCACCGGGCTTATGCTGCTTTTTGTCTGAATAAGTACTACTTCGATGACTGATTTGATTGCTTTAGCTATTTAACTACCGTGCATTAGCTACTTATAATTAAGGCAAAAGTACATTAGCTATTTTATTAAGGCAAACGTGTACCATTATGGATTAATTTAATATGAATACATATTTATTTCTATTTTATTAGCTTAATAATCTAAAATAAATCTAATTAAAATAACGTTTTAGATTTATAAATAATTCTATATTTATTTAACTAATTAAAATATTTATACAAATATATTTTTAGTAAAACTGTAAAAAGCTATATGCTAATTATATATCACAAACATCAGTTAACACACTGATATTATGAATATATCATCTTATTAACATTCTCAGTCACATGCCTCCAACCAAACAGCTTTTTCTTCAGAATTGGCTCGCCAAGCAAAAACCATCAACTTTTTAGGCAACTTCCACACGTTACTTTTTAACAGGAAGTTCTCCGGACTTCTAACTAAAACAAACGCTGCATTGTTGATCCAACGGCCACAAAACAAAAAAAAAAGCCACATCGCGGGAGGGAGAGACGGCACGAGACGGAGCGCCGAGATCAAAGGAACAAGACATCCGACGGGCAAAAAAAAAACAGTGTGACGGGGGCAAAAATTTCACACGGGCAAAATATAGCTTTCCTGTTTCCGTTTTGCCGTTAGAACCGGCACGTTTTCGTCGTCGACGCTGATTTCAGCTCGGGGCCGGCAGCGGCAGGGCGGTCTGATCGTCTAAGTTCGCGGCGGCCGAAGCCGGACAGCCGACTGTGCCGACGTGAAAAAGTGCCCGACCGGCCCACGCGTCGCGGCACGGTGTGCTCCGCGGTTGCCGACGACGCGCGGGGCGTCGGCGTAGCAGGATGGGCGACGCACGAGTGCACGACGCCACGACGGGCGGCGTTTCGGCACGTTTCCGCAGCCGCCCGCGCGTGGAGTTGATGACGTGCGTGCAACCGCATCGCATCGCTGTGCGGGGCGTTGTTGGAGCGTCTTCTCGGAGGTCCGCATGTGAGAGAATTCCTTGTGTTGGCGGACGGGCACGGCGGTGGAAGGGCGCTGGACGGAGGCTTGATGGACCGAATGGGTCGGACCCTACATACACTTCTGGGCTGAAGTGAGATCATGTACGTTTGTTTCGTGTGTGCGTGCACAAGGTCCAGCGGATCGATCGGCCTGCCACTTCTAGCCCAGCAAACCTAATTACGTTATGCGGGCCCATTCAGAAAGGAACAGAGGCCCAGGGCGTTGGCGCAAACAGATTTGATGGACTGGGTCGCGTTTCGCGTATAGTGGAATGGAATTGAACCAACAAAGGCCAATCTCTTACTTGACGAATCTCGCACCATGCTCTCCGGCATCTCATTTTGCCACGTCGCTGGAATTTCTCGGGCGTTCCATTCACGTGTTGACCTCGATCGAGCCGTCCACACATCCATACTCCCTGCCTCCCCTCCTCTCTCTCGCGAAACCTCCCTCTCTCTCTGTCACGGCGGCGGCGAGGCAGCCATGGCGGGGCGCAGTTGGGCGAGGTGGCACTGGCCCCCGACCATGGCGGGGCAGATCCGCCCCCTGGCGCGGCGCGCCGTGGCCCTGGCCCCCAGCCATGGCAGGGCAAGGTGCCCTCGGCCACTGGCGCGGCGGCGTGGTGGCCCCGGCGCGGCTGCTCCCCGGCAAGGGCGCGGCTCGATGGGCCCTCGGCGCACGGCGGCTCCACCGGCGCGAGCGGCTGCTCCCCCGGCGCCACGGCGCTCGGGCGGGGTGGACTCCAACGCCGTCGCGGGCTACAACGTCGAGCGAACTTGAGGTAGCAGCGGGGGGCTGCGGCCGTCGATTCCCATCGCGCCATTGTTGCTCTTCTTGGCTCCGCTACAGGCGAGCGATCTCCTTCCTCATGTTCATTGATCTCTAATTCTCTATGATGTTTTTGTCTTCCCGCCCTATTTGCGCCAGCACGCCGCCTGTTTCTTCCCGTTCGCTGCCTGTGTCTTTCGCCGCCTTCCTCAGCATCACCTCTACCACCACCATCCCGGCGAAGCCAATAGCATCGCAAGCATGCCTCTTCCACTCGTGGGTCATGTCAGTTAGGTGTTTGATGTAATGCCATGAAACACCATGGTGCAGCAAGGTGTCATGACCGGTCAAGCCATGGCGCGAGTCACAGCTTCATTCATTTGATTGGGCTCTTGGCGTCGTGACTTGCCAAGAATGGAGCAAATGTGGCGATTAGCAACCTTGGCAGCCAAGATTTTATATTTGACAGGGCATTGGCCATTGCATTGCTGCACAGGTAGCCTGCAAAGGCACTGCTCACCTCCACTGCCTGGTACGGCTCTTATTTTTGCTTTGTAGTTTGTATATATCACTCTTGAGAACAGACGGGAGGCAAGCTTAGGAGCCAGGAAGCTAGATAGTAATTACCCAGTCTCCTTCCTCTCCTCTGCCTGGTTTTGCCTCCCCCGCTCCGAGCTGTTCAAATGAATAAATATCCATGTGGTATCTACTGCAGATTCTTTTTTTGTGTGTAGGCTAACGGCAGCTACGATTTGTAAGTTTATCTAAATATTTTTTTGTCATAAAATCAAATCTAAAATGAAGAAACCTTATTTGATTGGGCAATTCCTAATTTCTGTAAATTGTATATGCTATGAAGTTTTAGCTGATCCATAAGAGATATGTTCCGCTACTCCTACATTTGATGCATTTTTACAAGTTCTACAAGAAGGAAACATGTTGGTGATTAAGCAGTTTCTTCTAGAACTTCACACAACATGTGTTAATAGCTTCACCCTTTGTCATAATTAAGACTCCCTATTGGTACTGCCCATTGATTGATTCCTTATTTTTAGCTTACCTTACCATAACCAGATACTATGGAAATTTCACCAGCACTTTATTTTTTTTCTTATCTTATATAGTGCGAGAATCAGATTACTTGAATTTTTTGGGTGATGCATCCCCATCACTACATTGATATTTTGTGCATTTGTTGGAAGCAACTCTAGGCTATGATCTTTGACATGTAGAGTCAGATCTCATGGGTTAACAATATATACCAGAAGGTCATCACAACCAATTCTTGACCTTATACAGACTAAGGCACAATGGTGTGAATTCTCAGTAAGGATTTCTTTTGTTTTTCCTCTGGTTCTGTCCAAGAAAAGGTGTTCAGTGACAATTTTGACATTATCATGTACTTTGCCACCACATTAATGCTGTTATCTTATGTTTTTTTTACCTAGGCAAGTAAAGCCGTAGCTGATGTGTTGACCTTGTTTTGAAAATATTCTTAGAGTAGTAATGTAGTATACATCCTTAGATAGCGTAAAATATACTATTCTCTGTCTTGAGCTGTCTGCTTACCACGTCGTCTCTGTTCTGGAGTTCTTAAGATCAACCCAAAAATTTTGCATATTTCATATTTCACTTCTACTATAAGACTGCGACACTTTGCTGCAGGTGAAGCTACAAGAGTTAGCACTGTAACTTTTGCTCCACTTTGAGCAGTGTTATGTTATAGTTTTTTCTCGAGTACACGCAGGTGAGCTGCATATATTTCTACTAGTAATATTGAAAACATTGTAGTTGTATGTTTAGATTTCAAAGGAAGTTATTTTCTGTGTTCTGCCTTTGGTCTGTTAAATTCAATCGCTAAACATTATTCTTCTTTTGTGTTGCATTAAGAGGACAGTACACACATTGCTACAAATAAGCAAGGACTAGTTGTTATTATCATCAGGTGCATGGTTGAGATTTTCATGCGTTTTTCTCCCTACACCATTGATCACTGTGATATTCCAAATTTTGCATGCTTCTCTTCCATTTTGCACTAATAAACATGCCCAGATTTCCACATGAATAAGAATCCTTGCCATTTATTAGCATGCAAAGCAAAACAAAAAAAGAAGAAATAAAACGAAAAACTGAGCTACTGTACTATCCCAAGATATCCATGTTATTTGATATGCTGAAAGATGAATGCTTTTTCTAAAGCAATAACTTATTCCAGTAAAATGCACAGCGTCAGCACCTAATTTTGAGCTGTAGTTGGTAAATTTGTAGGGTATAAACTTAGTGCCATTAATTTATTTTGATCAAGTTATGTAGTACGCCTAAGATATGTTCCAATATTTAAATTATGGTTTCTGTGTCATGCAGGAGGAACACACTGGGCACGAACGTACAGTGGGTGCCAAACAATTTTACACTGACGATCTCCTATGGACACTCGAAATACTCAGATCAAGGGTGTTTCCAGAGCTACGTAGATATTACCTTTCTCTCATACCATTTCCTGATTTGATAAGCTCCCAAAATGTAATCCATGTTTGCATATTTGCTAAATTCTAGAAGTTGCATGAGTAATTATACTCATTGCTAGGAAACAATTAAGAAGAAATCGCATTATTGACTGGGTTCGTCATATTTTATACATTCTATACGTAATCGGTGGAGGACCTGTTGGAGAAACTATAGGCAGTGATTTGCTGCCTTAACAGGGGAGCGGGCTTCGGTATCGTCACGGCTCTGGTATTGCTGCGGACTGACCACCTCACAGGGGGGCTGCGTCCGTTCCGCGCTGCATTCAGAGGAGGGGGGGACGGTGGAGGCAGCGGGATGAGGGTGACACACACGCGCAGAGGCCGGGGATGATTGGGTTGGCGAGCATTCGCAAGCGAGACGGAAAGAGTACTGGAGTAGTTTACAACCTATGAGTCAGTGCGTTAGTATATTTCAATATCACAATTGCTAGACCATGTTCCTACGAGGGGCGGAGCTATATAGAAAACAGACAATGAGCCTGATTGGTTTCTGGGTTGATAAGTTCGGCTGGTGCTGGTTTATTGTGAGAGGAAAACACTGTTGGTAGGCTGAAACCAACAAACGAACAGGGTAAATAGAGGGACACAAAATTGAATTTATTCCTATCAAATGTTGTTATGTTGAGAAGTACCTACGACCCAAAGCTACCTTGAGCTTCCACACTCTCAAACCATGAGCCAAAAAAAACAACATGGATTATCAAAGATACAACATGGGTTATCGAAGATGGCGCGGCAACCCAAGTTTTCTAGTCCTTTTGAAAGTGAAAGTGCCGACGACGGGCGCGTTGGTTCAATCTGGGGGGTAGGTTCAGTTGAACATGGCCGGATTTCGTGGTGTGGAATGAACCGATTGCCGGTTCTGCACTCTTTGGTGGTTGCACCGCGCCCAATTCATGGAGGGTGTTTGGTTTTTCCTCCTAAACTTTAGTCGTTGTTTTATCGAATGTTTGACACATACATGGAATATTAAATATAGACTAATTATGAAATTAATTGTACAGTTTGTGACTAATTTACGAGACAGAATCTTTTAAATCTAATTAGGTCATGATTTAACAATGTGGTGCTACAGTAACATGTGCTAATGACAGATTAATTAGTCTTAATAAATTCGTCTCGTGGAGTATTGACGTATTCTGTAATTTGTTTTTTTTATTAGAGAGTGGACTAAAACTGTTTCTTGGTCGGATGCGTCACGTCTAAGAAGGGAAGGGAATGGTCGTCGTTGAGAACATTGACCCGGCCGCAGTTGCTGCAACAACTGTCAAACCTTTGGCTGCTCGATTCTCTGCTGCACGCGTCTGGTTCCTGACCCAAAACCTCAACCCTGCCCACTGCCCACAGCCCACCCCATGTTTTTTGAAGATTCCACAGGTCCTATGTCACTGATCACGATGCAGAGCAATACAGGTCGCGTCAGCAAGACAAATTTTTTCGTGTAAAAAAAAGACAGATTTGATGGCCCTAATTAATTCCGGTTAGGCTCCGTTTAGATCTAAAATTTTTTAGATTTTGGCTATCGTAGCATTTTCGTTTGTATTTGACAATTAGTGTCTAATTATGGACTAATTAGGTTTAAAAGTTTCGTCTCGCGATTTCTCACTCAACTGTACAATTAGTTTTTTTTTTTGTCTATATTTAGTACTCCATTCATATATCACAAAATTCGATATGACAGTTACTGCATAAAAATTTTTGGAATCTAAACGGGCCTTACATCTGCATAATACGGCATCTCGTTGCGGTAGGCCGGTTCAAACTCGAAGCAACGCATACGCATTCAATCGTGGTCATGGTCCTGGTCCTGGACGGTCCTGGCGTCCAGCTGTTCTGCGAGCGCACCTACCCTGGAAACCAGTCCGCGTTCGTTGCTAAGCCCGATCGCTACTTGGGTTCAGTTTAGTTTGTAAAAAATTTTACAAAAATTTTTATATTCTCTATCATATCAAATCTTTGAACGTATGCATGAAGCATTAAATATAAATAAAAAATAAAATTAATTACATAGTTTAGACGAAATCCACGAGACGAATCTTTTAAGCCTAATTAAACTATGATTAAACACTATTTATTAAATAACAATAAAAATACTACGGTACTTATTTTACAAAAAAAATTGCATCTAACCGAGCCCTTGGTTTGCTTTGCTTGTCGCCAAATTTAGTCGTCGTCTACCTACTACTCTTGTAAGCCATCTCATTCTCACCAATATATATCCCTCTCCCTACCGCTCCTCGGTTGATCACGTAGCATAGCAGCAGGCCCCCCATCTCCCGTTGCTGCGTGCGGCGGGTCGATTAGTCGCGCTTGATTGAACTTGAACCGGCGGGGATGGGGGCGTTGGAGGAGCTCGTGGCGAAGGCGGGCGGGTGCGCGGTCATCGACGGCGACTTCGCCACGCAGCTGGAGGCGCTCGGCGCCGACATCAACGACCCTCTCTGGAGCGCCGCCTGCCTCAGCGCCAGGCCGCACCTCGTCAAGGAGGTAACAGCCCTGGCCCCTGACTTGGACGCTGTTTATTATTGGTTTACATTCCAGACTTGCGAGTTGCGATGCAATGCAACCCCCAACAGATGCCATCTGATTAATGTGTTTCTGTTCGCCGCGGCCCGCGAGAAATAAACTATTGCTGCGCTAGCTGTGAATGTGAAGATACTGATTTGCGCGTCTTGCTGATGATATTTTTCTGGGAGTTGGTGATTGTATTCTAGCTGTATTTTTCCTATTAAAAATCGATCTATATTACTGATACGCCGATATGGATACGGCGATACGGTGATGCGGCATTTTCCAAAAATAAGGGTACGCCGATACGGTAAGTATATAAATATATCAAAAATCAGAATACATCTACTCATAATATTTTTCACTCTAGTAGAACAATCAACAAATAAAAATGGCAAAACATAGACACAAAGGTAGCTAATCTGATAATGCATCAAAAATAGCATAATACTTGGTCTTATAAAGATTAAGGTTTCAACGATTAGAGACAAATAGTTAGTGCCATATGAAGCATCTAAGACAGTATACTAGTATAGTACTTGATTTTATGGTTCTTACCGCACAATAATAAATATTATGGTTGTGTAAATGGGCCACCAAGCTGGACTGCTAAGATGATAGACTTCAATTTGGAGGGTAGACTGTGAAGTATATCGGATAAATATCCGACATGTATCGATGAAGTATTGATGAAGTATCGAGATTTAATTTATTTATTTTTATTGGTGAAGTATCGAGATTTAATTTATTTATTTTTATTGGTGATATTATCTGATACTTCTCCGATACGGTATTGGAGGTGTATCTGAGTATCCGATACTTATCGCGATACCGATACGCAACTTCGGCGAAGTATCGGGGTATCCTAGGAAATAAACTATTGCTGCGCTAGCTGTGAATGTGAAGATACTGAGTTTGCGCGTGTTGCTGATGATATTTTTTTGGGAGTTGGTGATTGTATTCTAGCTGCATTTTTCCTATTAAAAATTGATCTATATTACAAAAAAAGAGTAATGGATCTATGGCCTGGGCAGGTCAAATGAACCAAATCAAAGGAAGGAAATTGAATTTTTCTGGCTCTTTGGTCTTGGGGGATGGTGGTGACTGGTGACCAGCCCACGAACAAAATCCCCTTTCTTTCCTTTCTTCTTGGAGAGACAAACCTGCATTTATATTTGTGGATACCAAACATTCCCTGTGCCTTTTTTAGTCTTAGGCAGTTTGGCTTCAGGTGCTTCACTCCTGTAAATGTGGCCATTATTTAGTTGGCCACAATCTGTCATCAGAAATCCAGAATGGCTTTCTGTTGCATGGAAATTTCGGTCTTATCCAAACTTGTTGAAACGCCCACCGATAGATACAGTGCTACCAACCAGTGTATCTAGGACCACATGGCAAGTCTCACGGACTGATGAGTTTGGATACCTACATTATAGAACAAGGACAGTGCAAGGAATTCAAACTATTTGAATTGTCTCCAGCTATCCATTTTGACATCTTGCTATGTTACCTGTCCAGGTTCATATGCAGTATCTTGAAGCAGGCGCTGACATCATTATTTCATCATCTTACCAGGTACTAACGGTGGCTTTCATGGTTGTTTCATGTTTAGAACTCAATAGAGATTCAAATGTTACTTACTGCATACACGTTTCTTTACCTGCAGGCAACAATCCCGGGTTTCGTGGCTAGAGGAATGTCTGTTGCTGAGGCAGAAGATTTACTGAGAACAAGTGTAAAACTGGCCGTTGAAGCTCGAGATGAATTCTGGAAGTCAGCACTGAGAAAGGCCAAGCCTATATACAACCGTGCCCTGGTTGCTGCATCCATTGGGAGCTATGGAGCCTATCTTGCTGATGGATCAGAGTACAGGTAACACGACCACACGAACCATGTGGCAGCATTAGATTTGGTGCCATTTTTGTAATGATAGTTACTTGTATATTCTAGAGACTGTCCTCGTGTTCTGTATGCATGACACACACACAAATTGGTCTCGCAGTGGATCATACGGAGCTGACATCACAGCCGAGAAAAGCTGAAGGACTTCCACAGGCGCCGTCTGCAGGTCCTTGCAAGTGCCGGTCCTGACCTGATCGCGTTCGAGGCCATTCCTAACAAAATGGAGGCACAGGTACATTCTAAATCAGAGCTCCATGTGAATGAACTGAAACATGATAGTTCAACAACCAAAGGTTTGAACTGAACTTGTGCTTGCCCAGCGTTCAAACTGAACCCCTTTCTCGTGTAGGCATTGGTTGAGCTTCTGGAGGAAGAGAATGTCCAGGTCCCTTCTTGGATCTGCTTCAGCTCCGTGGACGGCAAGAACCTGTGCTCTGGGGAGAGTTTCGCAGACTGCCTTAAGATCCTCAACGCGAGCAAGAAGGTGGCCGTTGTAGGGGTGAACTGCACACCACCTCAGTTCATCGAGGGCATCATATCCCAGTTCAGGAAGGTCTGCAGGCACCTCTACGCACATCAGTTCCTTTCTGACATTTCATGCCATTTCTTCAGTTGTCTGGACATGATGACCTGTTAGGTATGCTTCTGTTTAATCCATTCTCCCTTCTGTCTCCATCAGCAAACCAAGAAAGCGATTGCAGTTTACCCGAACAGCGGCGAAGTTTGGGACGGGAGAGCGAAGAGGTGGCTGGTGAGTAGACACCACATTTTTGCGCTTTTGGGGGAACGAAAACAGGGATCTGATTATGTGACGCATTATGCATGACAGCCGGTGGAGTGCTTGGGTCACAAGAGCTTCGACGCGCTCGCGAAGAGATGGCAGGAGGCCGGGGCCAGCCTCATCGGAGGGTGCTGCCGGACCACGCCTTCAACTATTAGGGCCGTTTCCAAGATCCTCAAAGGAAGGGCGGGACATTGATTTGTTCAGAAATCAGAATAGGAAGGACGGGGCATTGATTTGTTCAGAATTGAGCTGTTGTTGTTGCAGTATGCCAGTAGCCGGAATAACATGCTGTTCTTTCTTTTCCCTTTCAAGTTGAGCTCATGGTATCAATACTTTTGCAGTGTAGAACGTAAACTAGTTTGTAGCGTTCACTCACAGTCACAGTAGTGCTTAGTCACCGATTCAGGTAAGGATTTTAACAGTCAATGTCGTTTGGGTATGTTTACCAAATTAAGTATGGATTTAAACAAGACTACTGAAATTTATTATCCAAATAGTCTTGTGAAGAAAAGCTCAAAGTAGACTTCTAACCAAGGTTATCCAAAAGAACCTGTGCAATAGAACCTGCTACCTGCATTTTGCTAGACAGTAACAATACTGGCGAAAATGTTAACTTCGTGAAATGAAAATACTCACAAACGAATTCAATTTACAATTTAGATATACAAGTGCCACGTTATTTCATCAGAGAACTGCAACCTGAGTGGCTCCATATCGCTACGACCGAAGTATATTCATCAACTGACCTAAACTGTCCTGGCAACAACCAAGATGGCTATGTTCCAAACTACAGTGGCACACATAAATTGGTTACCGATCACTAGCCTAGTGAAGGTCAGATAAGTTGCAAGTCTTTTTGTTCAACCTGAAGTTTATTTGGATGCATTCAGGACTCTATACGTACTACTACAAAGTACATATTTTACCTATACACAACGGATCTCTCAATAAGGATCCTCCAACTTTATTTCAAGTTCAGCATCCCCGGTAGCTTCCAACAGGTCCACTATTTTCTTCGGACCATGAGTTGTGACTGATTGGCCCTCGGCATAACCAATCATTAGAAGCTTCCCTATCTTCGCCCTCCAATCAGCAACACATTTCTCAGTCCACCTGTCATGGACCACACGATCACGGTAGTTGACCATCGTGCCAAGCCCAGTGTTTCTTACCCAGCCATATTCTTCCAAAACATGTGCCTCGCCTTCTGTTAAATCTTCGCCAACCTGAAACATACAATGGAAGCACAACAAAGTAAAAAGCAACGAGCTCTCATTACTCAACCTAGCACACCTGGCTCTCAAATTCTCAATGCATTGTTCTGGAGAGATAATAAACATTGAGACTTGACTCTTATAACTACAGGACCTCATCTTAACTACTTTACATCAAGCGAATGCAAAGATTCTCAATTTTTTTGGTTGGAAGAGGTTACATAAGGAGCTGAACTAGAGCAGGATTCAGAAAATCAGTAGCAAAGCCACATTCGTGTTTAACCATCAAATTCTGGAACATATAAATTTCACCATAATCAGAAGCACATAATAGGGCGAAGAGACTGAAAAAGATAAACCAGTGCCTTTAATAGCCCATATACTCAGCCTTATACATCACTACATGGAGCAGGTGTTCCTACTTGTTACCACGTAATCCCAGCCTCCCTGGTTAGGTCACAATAGGCCCAGTTACACCATACAATCACTACTAGGTAGGTGAGTTGGCTGGCTCTTAACAGTTATTAAAATCTTGAAAATAAATTCCATAGAAGTAAGAAGCCTTACCAGTAACAGCCTGTTTTCAATAAGAGCTGTCCTTCCACAGCCACTAAGCTTCATTGCAACAACCAGCCTACGGATCTGCCATTCTATTGGAATTGATTGGACCACCTCAAAGAAGTATGTTGCATAACCATATTCAGGACGCTCAAGAACTATCCTGTGTAACAGATGAAAAGGACAACAGTTATAACAAGTCTTTAAACCATTTTGACAAGAAATATTGGACAAAGATCAATCAATAAGAGGCACCTATTATGGCTTCTAAATACAAAAATAAAGGATTGCAGATCCCTGCACCATCCCCATTCCACAGGACAGTCACGGAACTGAAGGTATCGTGACTATAAAAGAGAGAGAAAATGAATAAAGCTCTCAAGTTAGCATGAAATGGAAACTTAATGGCCAGAGTGTATCAATGTGAAAAAATACCTGCTCAATAAGAGAAATTAAACAGGATAAGCAGTAAATAGCCTTTCCCCCCTTTCAGTATCTAGCTACTGACAGTAAATCGCCTTTTCCCTCTTGGAAATATCTGCACATTGAAACAAATAGCATTGTCAACTGAAGGTGATATTGTTTTATATTTAGTCCATATCACAAAAGACGGAACTACAGTACCTCGACAGAGATATCAAGTACAAGCCTGTCTACTAACTGTTTCGCGGTTACTTAAATGGCAATACACAAGTTTAAACTAGATTACAGAGTAGCATCTTATTGTATGTCAAGGGGGTACATGCAGAGCCCCTCCAGAGTCTAAAAAGAGGTATATATTACTTAACCATGTATATGGTCAACACAGCATTCTTAATGGTGACACCAATGATCTTAACTATTTTCCAATTGGTGGTCTCAAAGTATTTTGAACTTAAATTTCCGATAGTAGCTATTTAAGCTGCAAACGATGTCCAAACAGTAAGTGGCAGACTGGTACCAGATTGCTAGTGGTTCTTAAGTTCACTGAATGGCTTGCAATAAACCAATTTACATCAGCACTTGCAAGAAAATGGCATTAAACACTACTACCTACATCCTGAAATATAAGGGATCCATGTTTATCCTAAGTCAAACTGTATTAACTTTTACTAAATTTATATAAAAGAAATAGTTACGACATCAAACTAACATCATTAGATACATTATGAAATATATTTTGATAATTTACATGTTTGATGTGACAGATGTTGATACTGTTCTCTATAAATTTGGTCGAACTTTGCATGGTTTGACTTATGACAAACTTGGATCCCTTATATTTTAGGACAGAGGGAGTATATCTTAATCTAGTTGACAGGTTTACAGCACATCTTTTGGAAAACTGTTCAATCCGCTTCCAGTTACAGGAAAACTTGAACTATCCCCACTGTTAAAATTTAAATTTTCATGTCAAACCCAGCATCACCACTTCAAAGTACAGGACCATATATAAATGTTGCAAGTGTAGTTTGTGACTCATCATCAAGTTGTGGGATTATAAATATTACACCAAATCAAACTGCCTGTGGTTCAGATAAGAAAATCATGTGTCATGCTAAGCACTGTTGTAAAACATCTTACATTTGCAATGACGTTTTCAAGATCTTCAAAGTTACTTTCTGTAGAATCTGCTATCATTTCATTATCTTCTTCAGCACCATAAAGTTTGATTTCTTCAACCGCTATTCCTCTGTTTAAAAGAACCTGCACGACAAAACGAAAATGCACCAGAGAGTATCACAGGCTGAAAGATTTTCCACAGCGTAGAAGCCCTGGAGCATCTTCATCAAGTGCCTTTTCAATTATAGGCTGAAAGATTCATATACAATTATATATGCAAATATTAAATGATCACCTGTAGAAGCCCTGGAGCATCTTCATCAAGTGCCTTTTCAATTGAATCCCTGCACAGCATATTTGTAACCATAGTCCCCCACCAAAAAAGTGTAAACCTTAAAAGAAAAGGCAAGTTACTAATGAAGCGTACGTGGCTGTTTTCTTCCTCCTTCGACGAGAACGGTAAGCAACACCCTCCTCGACAGTGTAAGCATCTTCTTCAAGCATTTTTTCAGTTGAATATCTGCAAAGATGCTATTCATAAGCATGTTGTGCAGCATACAATATAAAATGAGACAAGTCATTAATGCAGCATACCTTGTTTTCCTTTTTCTGCGTTGTCTGGAACTGAAAGAAACATTCTCACATAAGCCAGGCAACTCACAGTCGGTTAGTTCATCTTTTACTCCTAAAGATGGTACTGAGCCTTCGGCATGAGCAGAATTTGCTTGACGATATTCAGAAGGGCCAATCTCATAACCTTCTAATGCAGGCTCCAGTTTTACATCAGCCAGATGAGCCCCCTGTTTTCTTGCAACCAGCTCACTGTTTTCACTCATACAAGTTGCAGTGCCACCTATCTGGTTTTCGGAACCCTCCACTGGATCATGACAATATCCAAGTTCACATAGGGATGGGTTAGTATGAGATGACATGCCGGAAATATTCAGGAAACCTTAGTTTCGTGCATTAGCTTGTTTAGCAATACACGTTGCGGAATTATTGTTTTCTTGACATATAAATGGACACTAGGCATGACCGAGCAAGGAGCTGAGTAAATATAAGGCATGTCATGTCCAGCCTCATAAGTTGGTTGACATAACCATTAATTTAAAGAAATTGTAACTGTTTGTTTTTAGGAACATCAGGAGAGCAAGAAACTACACTCATGCAGAATTTACAGCTGTCCAGTGCCCTATGAGTTTACGACATGAACTGCTTCCAACAAAACATTCCCTAAAAGACATTTGGGTACCTGGAAGATCTTCACCAAGTAACCTCCTGTTGCTGTTATCATCCATGGGATTACTCTCTATAATAGGAGGTGCAGAAGAAATTTCCTGTATGAAGTATGATAAAGCCAAAAGACCAGGTTTTCAGAGGGGGGCAAAAAGGTAACAGAATCTCATGCTAGCTGGATGTAATTATTATTAACACAGTAAAGCAAACAAATCTGTGTAAATATACAGCACCACAGTGAGTATTTTATTAATATTAATTGATATGTAAAACACATTTGACGCTAGTAAATTTAGATGTAGTTTCAACACTCCTTTTAATATCATTTTGAGTTGCAACAGCTTGCCTCAATTACATTACATTATTGTATTTTTGGAAATGGATCTCGTAAACCAGGCATGGATCATCAATCTCAGTGACCCCGTAAACAAATCCACTCATAAATTAATAGCAACATTCCCTAAACAGGTTCGAATAATATTATAATTTCACACACCAGATTTGGATCATCTTTCTTGGTGTTTAAAGTATAAATAAATTTAAAAAATAAAATGAAAATTGGGAAATGACAGTCATAGGTTCTAGGTAAATAGCACCAGTGCTAATGTGATGCAGATAGAATTGAGCAAGCGAAAAGCATGGAATTTTCTAGAAGATTCATAGAAATGCATAACGATTAATCAGATAACCAAGACAAGTGTATCAACACCTGCAACATGCTGCATATATCTTCTTTGTGTGTTGTTCCCTCATGATTTCTGCAAGAAAAATTAACTGAATAATGTTATGCATATAACAAAAGAAATCATAGCCCTCTATAATAATCAATATATCATCTGCCAGTTTTCACACACATTATAGATTTCCTGGCTGATACTGTAGCAAGCCCTGAACTTTTGTCTGCTAGAAGGATCCTGTAGCGCTCTTTCAGAGGTATATGATCAAGCTCATCAGTCCCAGTACAGATTTCAGGGTTAAAACCTTTGGCACATTCCACGCTTGAATCTTTTTGTGTGGAAACATACTGCAAAGATTCTCCATAGACAATCATCCATTCAGTGTGAAACCTTAAAAAAATAACTCATGTGAAGCTTCAGGAAATAGCATGTCTACTAACCTGAAACAACTAACTAATATGGACTTGAGAATAACTACAATGAAATTGGAAGAATAACACAAGACGAAAAAATAGAGAATAGGTGATAAGAGAAAATAAGGAAACTGCAAAGGAACTACAGGACAAAGCAATAGGAGAAGCAGATTAACAGTGCAAAACAGATCAATCTCTATATATGAATACCTCCAGATACCATGGTCAATGTTTTAATCTAGGTTCAAACAGAAGCAACAACTCTGGTTTACTCCTTTCAACAAAAGTATCATTGCAAGGGTTGTAACATATATGAGTAAATGAGTAAATGAATTGTGTAAACATTTCTATGAAGTCCAGCTTTTCATAGGATGTGAATGGTCCAGTCCAGATCTGTCTGTCAAGGGTAATACTAAAATAGAAATACATTTTTTACCATAATTTCTGAAAAACTTCAAAAACTGTTTTATTTTTTGCTGTATCATTTGCCTAACCAAATTATTGTATGCATTGAAAATACTGAACGCCGCAAACAAGGCAGAGACAAAAATGTTAGTAAATCATATCCCTTTTTCCAGCACTGGTGATCAAACACGTTTTTTGTGAGGTGGGATTGATCCAGCATATTTCAATTGTCCTTTAGTAATGATAATTCACAAGTCAGGAGGTGAGACTCGACGTGAAACTACAAGACAAGTATTATAGGAATTTCTAATCTTATAGGGATGGACATTGATAAGAAAGTAGTACCCAATCGGATTCAATACGAGCTTCCTCAGTCATTTCACACAGACTGTTCCGTGATGCAAGAAATATTTTTGAGACCACTATCTCTGACTCTGCCTTCACTGTGTTATACAAATGATACTGATGTAATCTCCAGTCAGTTTCCTGAGAGCTTTTATCACTCGTCATGTCTGAATACAGGGCAAACACCTCTTTGCAACCTCGCAGTGTTCCATCCAGAATGATCGATCTAGGGGTTCCAATTTTCTTCCAGCAGTTATTTGCATCATTCTCATTGTTGTACGGCTCAATACTTCTATGGAAGAAGTATGATGCACGGCCATCTTGCCTAACACCTGCAAGATTGCAGTTAAACTGTAACATGCACTGACAGATAAGTAGCCAGAACAGTTGTGGCATTACTTCGATAAAATTAAATACCCGGTATATCTTGAGGGCGAGTGCAAAAAAATCCTTGTCTATCACCATCAACAAATTTGATAAACTTGTTGATAAATGGATGGCGCTCAGCTAGACCACTCCCCACTTCTGCTGCTAAATGCCACAGAAGATCACTATCACTGGGATTGAATTCTACACCCCTTGGCAGCCCTGGCCAACTCTGCAAGCACAATGGTACAGTAAAGGCCTACCCTTGGGAGGGGGGAGGGAAAACAGTAAAACAAACTGTTAAGCTGTTTAATGGCATTCATTTTATTATTTGAAAAATATGCACGTTCGTCCACACATAACAGCATCTTTCCTCAAAGTTCAAAATAATAGTACCTGGCAATACATCGATACGGTAGGATCAGGGGCGGACCCAGTAAAGGACATGGGTGTACAGATGTACACCCAATAACTTCTGCAAAAAAAAAAGGGGAAGTTAGTAGGCATAATACATAATACATATATATAATAAAGTTGTAATTAGATGAGATCCGAAATACAAATGCCCAAATACATTAAATTAGGGTTCGGGTGCTCGGTTTCGCACAGCGGGAAGGGAAAGGAAGGAGTGCGCATACCTGGTGGGTGCTCGTCGCCGGCGAAGGGCCCAACGAAGACCTGGCGAAGGGACCGACTACGCTAGACCTGGGCACCTGGGAACCAGGCGTACGGCGGCGGCGGCGGTCGGCCAGTTGCGCCAGGAGTGAGAGAGAGCGCGCGCTCGCGAGCGAAAGGGAGAAGAACAGGCAGGCGGTGAACGTAGGTAGGTCCGGTGCTATTTGGATCCCGCAAGGCCGCTCCGAAAAAAGGCCCGTTGGACAGTTGTGTGCAGCCCGCTTTTCTGCTGTGGGTTGAAGCAGGCCGGTCTGCTAGAGCAAGTAGACAGTCTACGAATCCAAAAGACGTAACGTATAACGTAGGGAGACTATTTTTTATTTCTCTAAATATTAATAATTACAGCACAGAGCTTCTATGTATATATAGCCCTGTCAAGGCTTAAGAGTTTTGTAAAAGTCCACATACAAACGGACTAGGATTAGTATTCCTCCTTCTTCTTTCCTTCTAGATAAAGTCCGCATGTTTTACAACACTCTCTCTTATGCGATTACCACGATATGCACATGCTTTGTTAAAAACTCCATCCGAAAACCTAGTAGAAAAAATGGTTCTTGGAGAAAAGAGTACATCGCATTCGTTAATTGCATTGCACATGTTGTCTCATTAAAACCTTGTGAGAAACCTTCAAGTAAAAACTCGTATGGGGAAAAAGAGTACAACATTTAACCTTCTTGGTCATATATTCTTCAGGTTATTCTATTCTTCATGAACAGATATTGATCTTTATGATCTATGCATAAACTTCAATGTTTTGGCAAATATGATCTACTTAATATTTGTAATTTTAGTGGTTTGCCTTTAAGGTAGATTTAATCAAATATGCTCCCCTGGTAAAGCCATAGTTTGAACTTCATTGTTCAAATCTTAATTTTCATAATTGTGTGATTAACTAATGGTTGCAGTACCATAATACTATATATCTTTCAAAAGATGGCTCCTAATTCTTCTATGAATTACAAGGTGATAGTTTCAAGTTAGCCGGTGACTGTTTGAATATCATGAAGAGTATCAAACAAGGCGACATCGAGATCTATGAACAGGTTATCTAGGAGTTCAATACGAGGAAGATAGCTTTTAGAAGTTGAGTTTGTACATGAGCATAGAGACTCAAATATCGATGCTCATTGGATAGCTCGTAGCTTGATCCATGCTGAGTTAGGGCGGCATGTATGGTTCTTGAACCCACCTGATGTCGTTTGCAACATGTATAATCCTCCTAGGTGAATAAAGAGGACAGTGTTGCTCAAAAAATAATAAAAACGGCAGTGTTTCCCATTTATTACTTTTGTCATAATAATATAATAATGTGTGTTTGATACCGCTTCTCCATTAGCTCCAGAATTGTGTCAAATGGGATAAAATAAAATAGCTTTACCTGAGTAGTTTCTTAAATTGTTCTGTTACAAGGGATGGGTGGGAGATAGAACTGAAAATGTTTACTTCTTCTAGCTCTGACTCGCTCTGGTGGACTATGTGAAATTATGTGAGAGCATATTCTAAGAGCTCATCATGTATCTATTTTGTCAGATGGCTCATCAAAACAGTTTCAACTCCATGGATGGAGTTGTTCATGGTGTCGAAGTAAATAAAACAATTTCATTAGTGAAGTAGAGTTGTGACGTACGAGATCCAATACTTTACATCAAACTGCAACAGTTGTGCTCGACCAAGTGGCAATTGCTTAATTTCATCCTCAGTACTTCTTGGATATGTGATAATGTAGTCAAGTTCTGTAATACCCCATATTTTATGGGTTATTAGCCGTGCTACTAAGGGGGTATTTTGTTCTTTAGTCGCTCCTAAAATTCATGTTACATCGAATGTTTAGATAGTAATAAAGAGCATTAAATATAGATTAATTACAAAACCAATTACATAGATGGAGGCTAATTTGGGAGACGATTTTTTTAAGCCTAATTAATCTGGTATTAGCACATGTTTATTGTAGTGCCACGTTGTCAAATCATGGACTAATTAGGCTTAAAAGATTCGTCTCGCAAATTAGTCGCAAGTTGTGTAATTAGTTTCGTAATTAGTCTATATTTAATACTCCATGCATGTGTCTAAACATTCGATGTGACAGAAATTTTAGGAGCGCTTGTAGAAACCAAACAAGACCTAAGTGATAGGGTTAACTAAATAAATCATAGTTCATGTACTCAAGTGTTATATAATATAAAATATGAGCTTTCTCACAAAAGAAAAACTAATATAACCTAACTTTAACTTTCTATGTCGTGAATATACCTAGTGAAATACTACCAAATATTTTATAACTCATAGAGTCATAGTACACGTATTTTAATTTGTTTGTGTGTACGTGCACTAATATCATGCATGCCTGGGTAGCTTAAGCATATCGTATAAGGAGCTGCTTGGTTGCTGGCCGTGTCTATCCACCAGGAGTGTGGCGGTGCAAATTCGGCGCCACAAGTGTGGCATGAATGCAGCCAAAGATTAATAAGCATGTTCGCTGGCTCATATACAATCGTGGATTATAAGCTGTAACAGTATTTTTCTTTCACATCAAATCAGCCAGCAGTAAATAATCCACGATCGTTTACGACATACCGAATAGGCTGTAACTAGCTTTCCCTATGGTCGCCAAACATTACTACTCAACCAAATAATCAGCTCGTTCGGATGGTCTGCAGCACAATATTTTTTGGATTTTTTTGATGATTGAATAGTATTCTGTAAGAGAGAATAAGCTGAAACAAGCCGAAAATATACCAGTTGTTTTAACGTGGCTGTCGAAGTTGGGATGTGACGAATTATTATGGCGGGCAACCAAACAAACCCTAAGTGTACGCATCTACGTGTGAGCATGCATCTTCATATAGCATGGACGATTGGCTAATAAACTAGTTATTGGAGCTGTCATAGAGGCTTACTGATTAAATGTTTTATAAGCATATTAACGAGGTAGTGGATAGGATCAGAGAAGGCCAATGTCGCTCAACCGGCTGCCAGGTAGGGCCAGTTAGCTTTCTATTTGCCAGCATGAGAGAAAAAAATATTTAACTGGGTGGTCTGATCCGGTTGCGTGAGAGAAAAAACGTATCGTTCCGTCCGATTCTCTAGCAAAAAAAAAAAAAAAAAACGTTTGGAACTGATTCGCCCTGTTCTTCACAGAAACCAAAACGTTTCTTTCATCCAAGGCCTTGTTTAGATTGTAAATTTTTGCAATCTGGACACTGTAGCATGTTTCGTTTGTATTTGACAAACTTTATCCAATCATGGACTAACTAAGCTCAAAAGATTCGTCTCGTGATTTACAATCAAACTGTATAATTAATTATTTTTTTTACCTACATTTAATGCTCCATGCATATGTCCAAAAATTGATATGATGAAGAGAGAGTGAAAAAACTTGAAATTTTGAGGCAATCTAAACAAGGCCCAAACCGGCCCTGAGTCTCAGCTTCACCGAATGATCCTCCAAGTGCCGCCCAGGCATACATGATCGATGGTGAACTCTAGTATCGTAGTGAAGGTCAAGACAATTGAGTCAGAGCACAGTGCCACCGGATGATCCACCAAGATGGTCCCAATCATTTGGTTCATATATCTAAGCCGTTTAAGTTTGATTGATTCCGTCCGATTCAACCTTTTTGAGTCCCCATATTTTAAAAACAATACAATGGGCCCACTTTGAAAAACTTGTAAAGGCCATTACTAGTGACTATTCTTAGGCAGTGAGCAAGACCAAATCGCCGGGAGGTTGGGATGGGCCACAGCTCTAGGAAGAAAAAGAAGCGCGGCGCGGCCGGCCGCAAGGCAGCCAAGGACCACGCCGTGCAGCTCGAAGGAGACGAGACCGCCCTTGATGAGGAGCTCACCGCCCTGCAGCTCACCCTTGCGCCAAAGGTCAAGCAGGCCTTGCGGCCATCTCAGGCCGATGAGACCGCCGACGGCGCCGGTGAGGAAGATGACGAGGTTGATCGAAGAAGGAAGGAAGGAAGGGAGAGAAGCCTTGTCAAGAGTGGTGGCGCTGGCGGCGGAGGCAAGCTGTCGTCCAAGCCCCGTTCATGGCATCCAGCTCAACGTCGAGCCATCCAAACCTTCTCCGATCAGGTCCAAATTTTGGGCTATCGGAGAGGAGACCGATGAGTCCGAGAGTGACGAACCGGAGGAGCCACGGACTCCCTCAACACCGGAGTTCATCAAAGCCGCCATTGATGCGGGGTTTACGACCGAACAGCTCTACAGAGCCGAACAAGCACTAGGCTCAGGTAAGAATCCATCCTCCGGTGATCTTCTTCTCGCTAAATCCATCGTTTCAATGTTGGTCCAGAGGAAGCTCATGGGAGCGCCATGGTACGGGCCGCTGCCTTCTCCTTGCGTCTCTCCACTGAGAACCCTTGGGGACATCCTTGACATGGCATCATTCAGGACGTCAGGTTCCCGCGGTGGTTCGATTTCGTCCCCTAGACGGTCGAGCTCGCCGGAGATTCTCGGTCCAGCAAGGCAAGATGACGCTTCAAAAAAATTTGAATCACCAAAACTTTAGGATCATGATCCGTTTTTTCCTCCGCTATCTCAAGCGAGGCTTCCGGTTGCGGCAACCGCGTGTCCTTCGCGTGGAGCGGCTGAGAAAGTGGATCGAGGTTCTGCCGTGGCTTCGTCGGCTTTGGTCGAGCGTGCTGCAAGCGTCGTGGAAGGGAAGGATCCGGAGAGTAAGGGGGTGGAGTCAAACATATCAGAAACTCCGATCCACCAGGGAACCG